ATGTAAGCACACTGAATATTATTATCAGTATGACCTTGAGTATTTCTTAGTAGCATGTACATGGTATTTTGTATGTCTAATTTATCCTTGAACTATATTATTGAAAGATGAATTTTATCATTCATTGACTAGGTTTTTTTTTGTAGGGTTTGCTACAACCAGTTATTATGGATCGACAACTTAATCATTGGACACTTTTCCTGGTACTTGACAAAATTGAATTGAAGAGTAAATCATCAGATGCAAATGAGTTATCGAATCACATTATGGAACTGAGAGATCAGATTCGAAAGGAGAGAATGATTACAATGTAAGCACACTGAATATTAGTTATCAGTATGACCTTGAGTATTTCTTAGTAGCATGTACATGGTATTTTGTATGTCTAATTTATCCTTGAACTATATATTGAAAGATGAATTTTATCATTCATTGACTAGGTTTTTTTTTGTAGGGTTTGCTACAACCAGTTATTATGGAGACATCAAACGTTAGTCCAGCAGCCGTGGACTTCCTAGAACTGAATCGCATAAGGCGTTCACTTCTTATAAGTTTACATCTATGGGATCGACAACTTAATTCATTGGACACTTTTCCTGGGAAAAGTTCTGCTTTCAAAGCTGAAGTTGATCTCTCCGAGGATGGAAATCTTGATGCTCATGAAGAAAATACCTGCAGATCCTCGGATTCGGTGGAGCCTCGTAAGCGCAATGCACTGTGAAGCAGAACTCTAGTTCACTATCCTTGGAATCCAATGTGCCTGAAAATCTGACTTTTCAATGTGTATTGGAAAGAGAGAGGACAATGGACAGCCGAATGAAAGCATCCATTCTCCTGTATCTACTTTATCTGAGAAAATAGATTCTGCTTGGACAGGTACTGATCTACTTACGTTGAAAGTTCAACCTCAGAAGCATCTCAGGGAGATGAGCTTCAAGCTGGTTTGATCAGGCCAACAAGTAAAATGTATAATCTTCCTTTGAGAAAGGTTGCTGCACCAACGAGGGTTCATTCTTTTGATTCTGTGTTGAGACTCCAAGCAAGAATTCAGAAGGGATTGCACCCCTCGTCATCCCATTTCTCGACACTTAGATCTTTTCATGATTCTGGAGATTATAGGACCATGGTGAGGGATCCTATTTCTTATGTAACAAGGACTAAATCCTATACATTGTCACTAGAGGCGCAAAAGTTGAATCTGTTACTCAGTTCCACACCTGCTTTAATCACCTCTGCATCTCGTGTGGCTGAAGGGGCTCGTCTACTTCTTGCACAGAGGGGCCATAATGACAATGTTATTGCTGTTTATGACAACGATCCTGCAAGTATAATATCATATGCTCTTAGTTCCAAAGAATATGATGAATGGGTTGCTGATAAGTCCAATGGAATTGGAGGAGGCTGGAATGTTGGTGACAGGAGCAAAGAAGATTCTGCAGCTTCGTGCTTTTCACCCTGGCAGTCATTTGGTTCTCTTGACCTGGATTATGCACATTATGCAAGTTTGGATCTGAAGTTACCCAACCATCTATGGGTGCCGTGTTTCCTGATACGAAAAGGTCTCCACATTTGACAGTATCTTTGGAGATGATTCTTCTGCTGCTGGTGGCAAAGTGAAGTTTTCTGTGACTTGTTTTTTTGCGAAACAGTTTGATTCTCTTAGAAGAAAATGTTGCCCTAGTTACATGGATTTTTTGCGTTCCTTGAGCCGCTGTCAGAAATGGAGTGCACAAGGGGGGAAGAGCAATGTGTATTTTGCCAAATCTTTAGATGAGAGATTCATTATAAAGCAAGTCCAGAAAACAGAGCTGGAATCTTTTTATGAATTCGCTCCTGAATACTTCAAGTATTTGACAGAATCTCTTAGTTCGGGAAGCCCAACTTGCCTTGCTAAAGTTCTTGGTATTTATCAGGTTTGTCCTCTTTTCCTTTCCAAAGCTTTGTTTCTGTGCACATCCAGTTGCAGTATGGAGGATCCAATATCATTTTAATTGTAATATCTTCTGGTTGGCTTGATGATAGGTCTCTGTAAAACACCTGAAAGGTGGAAAAGAAACAAAAATGGATCTTGTGGTGATGGAGAACCTATTTTTCAGAAGAAGTATATCTAGGATATATGATCTCAAGGGCTCTGCAAGATCACGATATAATCCAGATACAACAGGGAGAAACAAAGTACTGCTAGACATGAATCTGTTAGAAACATTGCGAACAGAGCCTATTTTTCTTGGAAGCAAGACAAAGAGAAGTCTCGAGAGAGCTATTTGGAATGACACATCTTTTCTGGCTGTAAGTTGTGCTTTTAACATGAACTTGAAAAATGCTTTCCAAGTTGACTGATGTTATAACAATGCTAAGGGAGTTCTTCCATTGGACTTTAGGTTGGTTTTCCGATTTGAATTTTGATTCTATAAACAATGTTTTTGAATGTTGTATTCCGTGATTTTCAGTCTGTTGCGGTCATGGACTATTCACTGCTGGTCGGAGTGGATGAGGAGGGCAAAGAGCTTGTTCTTGGAATTATTGATTTCATGAGGCAATATACCTGGGACAAGCACTTGGAGACATGGGTTAAAGCATCTGGGATACTGGGTGGGCCAAAGAATGCATCCCCAACAATTATTTCTCCGAAACAATACAAGAAAAGATTCCGAAAGGCTATGACTACATATTTTCTCACGGTACCTGATCAATGGACATCATGATCTGTTTCTTCATTGATTAATTGGTTCATTGATAAGAGGCATAAGTAATTGCTGATAATTTGAGAAGGGACTTCCAACCTCTCTCCCAGGTTTTGTTCTTTTCTCGTCTTTTTCTTTTCGGGAAAAATCTCTCTTTGTGGGTAGGATTAATCTATGCACATGGAGGAAAAAAGTTTAAGAGGGGATCTTTTTAATGACTTTTAAAGGAAAGGAAGAGTTGAGAGACCCTTATTAATGTGTATATCTCCTCTTGTGCATGTGCAAAAAGTTTCCAGCAAGAATCAAAGGGCCTTTTTTTTTTTATCCTTAACACGTTTCATTATAGCTTTTAGTGCGTGCGTGTATTATTGACTCTTTAGGAAACTGCTGTCTGCTGCTGAAGAAAGACAACTTGGGCGCTAAGTTCATCCATGTGCGCCTGTAAATTTGCAAGCAACATTGGCTAGAAATGATAAGCAATTTGAGTTTGTTAAAAATGGTTTGAAATGAGTGTATGGTCTTTTCACATTTTATTTGTGTTGCTTTCATGTTCACTGATCTGTTCACACGAAACCAGACAAGATTATAGGTAAAGTTTTGTATGGCAAGATCACTTATTATCCCCAGGATCCCAGCTTTGGCACTCACTCTACATAAGATTAAATATTATTCGTTCCGTAAAATTGTTAATTATTTATTGTTATTATTTAAAAATATTCATTTTAAATTTATAAAATAAAACAAAATGATCAGAAAGTGCTGTCTATCCTATTAATAACTAGAGCAAAAAAGAATAAGTCCAATAGGAGTAATTACATAAAAGATGATGGCGATGCCTGAAAATATGATTGGGTTTCCATTGGGCTAATTATCATGTAAGTTTGTTTGAGGGTTCACGTTATATGGATAGAAACGTCTATTCATAAATCCTTAAACACATTCTTCAGGTTGTTCAATAAGGATTTTACAAGGAAAAACACTATACTTGTGAAAGTAGTGATATACAAAGGAAAATGCATGTATGGATTTTAGAATCACTACATATCAGGTAGTATATGAGGAATTGGTATATGACATTACTATATATCAAATATCACGAAACTTGACTATCCAGATAGACCTTTGCCTTTAAGATTGAATAGATAATATTGTCACATAGGGTCACATAGACTCATATCGCTAAGGTTGAATGGATAATATTATCACATAAAGACTCACGTCTCTAAGAACGAATGGATAATATTGTCACATAGAATTTCACCACTGAAGCTAAATAGATAATATTATCACATAAGATCATATAAAGTCTCACCACTAAGGCTGAATAAATAATATTGTCACACAAAATCACAAACTCTTATCACTAAAATCGAATAGATAATATCGTCAAAACCGATCATCATAATACATGCTTCACATTTACAACAATTATTTTGAGCCTACAATCAAGGCTTTATCATAAATCATCATGTGACATTCTCATTTTATAGATTATCATTTCTTAGTCCATCATGCGTAAGGGTGTAATATTTTATTTAATAGCTCACGACTCCTAATAACTCTTGTAAAGCAATTAGACATAATATTTTTGAGTTGTGAAGTATTTATAATATTTTTTATAATACATGTGTATTTCATTAAAGGTTAAGGTATAACGGAAGGTGTTTTTAATCTTTTAATACTAAGAAGTATGAATATTCAACTCTAGAGTATAGATACTTAACCAAAGAGTATAAATATCAATACTCATTAAATGGTATCGATACTAAGCAAGAAGTATCGGTATCAAATTGATGACATCAATTCCAAAATGACACATTGAGAAGTCTCAAACCATTCAATATCGATTCTATCCAATGGAGTATATTCTATTAACAATATCGATACTGCCCAAGATATTTATTTATGTAATTTTTTAAACATTATTTGATATACTAATTATATTCATATAAATATTTTTAATTTAATATTACAAGTTATTAAGAAAAATATCACAATGACAATTTAGTAAAATTTATATTCTTTCAATTAAATATAGTAATTTTATATTCTTGTCAAACAAACCAAATAAGATAATATAACATTCCCAAAAATATGTCAGATAATATATTTCGAAAATTTTATTCTCAATAATAATATTACATTCCGTGAACCAAACCCATCCTTAAAATTTTAAAGCTAAATTTGTTGTATGTACAGAAAAGAAAAGAAAAGAAGCAAGAACATAGTATAAAATGTAGGGTGAGCTCTAAAGAGGATGGTGTGAAATTGAGTCTGATCCCATCTTCCCATGGCTCTGCTCTTTAATTTATTTATAATATCTTTGGTATGTTAAGAAGTCACTTCTATTTGCCTTCCTCCTCCATTCATTCCCATGAAACTCACTCGTTTCTGCAAACAAATAATCACAAATGATCATCAACATCCTCGTAATAATAATAATAATAAAAGTTGGGGAAGTATTGCTCATATGAAAAATTATCAAATGAATAACCTAAATCTTTAGTCAAATCCATATGAGTTAGGGATGGACGTATAATTTTATGTTAGCATGCGGGTTTATAATATTTTAGAGGAAAACAAATTATTAATAGATGATTAAAAAAAATTATTATTTAACATATATAAAAGTTTGAAATTTTCAAAGATTACTGGAATTACGGATAAAGTACAACAAACACAAGTCTTTATAGCTTATAAAATTCAATTCAAGATTTCGGTTTTAGAAAAGCATGCTAAATGGTAAATGAAAACCTTAACATTTTGCCTCAAAAATCAGAACCATGCTTCCCACGACTTTAAAGTTTAGCAAAACGGAGCTTTCAGAGCAGTCAAACATTGAAAAAAGAAGTAAACTTTTGGGGTACTGTATCACTATTGCTTCAACCAATATTCCGAACGTCATACCATTCACACGCTGTTAACTAAACACATAATTAATCACAAAAAATATCAACTAATATTCACACGCTGATTTAGTTTTAAATAATGAGTTAGATTACACTCAAATGTAAAATTTTGTTATATCCTTTTCGAATCTCTTTTGTTCCGCACATTAAAACCTCTAAATAATTTCTTCGTGGGGGAGTCTTCATAGGAACACCTCCGGATATGAGATATAAGGTCCCATGAACCTCATTCTCTTTGAAAAACCACAATCCTTTGACATAATCTTTGGCATATCTACGTGATTTGTCAGAAATAATTGACAACTAATCACATGTAGGTTTGTCTATTCTATTAATCTACAAGTAAATATCATAACTCTAGTACTGACACCAACTCTAAGATAATATTTAAGTCGCTATACATAGTTTGAGAAGGGAGTTCTTCCCCTAACCTAACAGGATATAAATATTATTATTCTTTTAGACTCTTTTTTATATTACTACTGTCAATATAATTAATTGATCATTGTTCAAACAATTGTGTATGGTGTCTAAGTTTATCCAAACAAGCTTAGTAAAATGAATGAAAAGTAACATGAAAACAGTGTCGTTGTCTGGTAAGAAACTAACCTCACGGGCCTTGAAACCTTCACCGGTGCTTCCATTGCCACCGTTCCAATGCACTTGTCGCTGCTCGGTGACTTCAACACGTGGGCTGTTTCTGGTCATTCCCATGCAAAGTTGCTTGATTTTCTCAGCTGCCTCTCTCCCATTCTCGCTCCCTTTCATCAACCTCTCAACTTCCGCCTTGGGAAGCCTCATTTTCACCCTCATTGCTCCTCCTCGTCCCCCTTCTTCATCCCCTTCGGGTATCGCAATCGACGGTTTCAAGAGCGTAAGATCCGACACCGACCTCCTCGACAACATCAAGCTCTCGAGCCTGTCTTTAGCACTCATGGTCACATCCGACCGAACCCTTCTCGGAACTCTCTCTTTGGGAGCCTCGGGCAACACGACCAGGAAGTAAAGCCTCTTGGGCTCCAACCTCTGATGCGACTGCAATGGCTTCGCTCGTATACCGTAATGCTTAACCGCTTCCGATTCTAACAAAACATGCCCCGGATGATCTTTCAACACCTCCTCAGCCGTCACCGGTGTCTTCAACTTCATTGTTTCCCCGTTTATCTTCATCACTTTGGTCATCTTTTTCACTCCCAAACTATTCCCCATTTTCACCCAGACAAAATGAATATTGTTTGGTAAAATGATGGGCTCTGTAATATATGTATATGTATGTATATATACATATATGAGTGGTCAAAAAAAGAGGCCAAAGCATTTGAAAAACATGGGCAAAATTGATGTTTGACAAAGATAATAAAGTACGTAAGATATCGCTTTCAATGAAATGATTTTTATTACATAACTAACTAAATTTCAGCATTTGTTCAAATTTTAAACAAAAATTCGTCAAATCTAATCTAATCTAATAAAGGTAATTTAAGCGTACGTTAGATTTGAGTTTCAGATCATTGTTTTTGTAGTCGGAAAAGGTTTACGGTAATCACGGCTTGAAGATTCAAACCGCACATGTGAAACACTGACTTTGAACCTTCATTTCTCTATTTCATTATTTTCAATTTAAGAAATCTGCTTTGTATAAACAAAAGGATAAACTAAGTATTTAGTCCCCAATTATTTTCATGGATCCAGTTTTGATTATTTATCTATTTTTTAAAATTATACCTATAGTTACTTTTTTGTTCTGTTTTGGTTATATACCGTTAAAAAAACAGAAATGTTAATGTCATAAATTTTTAAATTTTTTCAATGATTATGTGATAATATTTTATGATGACATATCAACATAATCGTTATTTTTTAACCGCGTGTGATTGAAATCAAAATAAAAACATAATTTTAAGTATGATTTTTAGAAGAAAAAAATAGTCAGTTGACCAAAACAGAACTACAAGAATAATTAGATGATTAAATACAGAATTTACCCTATAAAAAAAGACTGCTAAAGCAGGTATTGCATGTTGAGGCGTTATATATTTGAATGAAGCAAAGGTCTAAATTGACACTCCGCTCATCGTCTTGGAAGTCATTTACATGTACAGTTTTATTTTTTATTAATTTACGAATAATGGATGTAATCTTTATCTTTGAAAAGTGGGGGTTTTTTTTAATGATTTTACTAGAAGAAAATATTTTTATATTAAAAACTTATATGTACTCGATTAAATTTAAGACAGATAAAAATTAAGAACCTTTGAATATAGAAGAAATATAGTATATTTATATTAAATACATACAATAACATAGATATTAATATATTAAAAACAGCTTTAAAAATGCAAAAAAATGATATATTAGTTGATTTTGAGGAACAAAAATGATTAATATATTATTTATAAAGTAGTCATGCATATATCCAAAGCAACGCTTGGAAAACAGCCGTCGTCCTAGTTGTTCAAAAGACCATTTTCCATTACTTCCAAAGCAAAAAATGGACACATTTTAATCGTAAGAAAAATTACATGCTTTTGTTTCCTCTACTTTGTTTATCAAAGGGCAATCTTATCTTAAAAACCCAGTAAAGGTTTTACCAGCAAGAGAGATCAAACAGAGAGAAATCCTCGTTAAACAACGAGGCCGACTGAATTTTTTACACACTCATCAATGAAAGAAGTTAGAATAAACTACGTATTTAGTCATCTTCTTATAGCCTACTTATGCAGAAAAGACGCTCCTCTCTCTTTTACACAAAGCAAGCAAAATGGCTGCTGCATTCTCTTTGTTGCGGGGCAAACCTGTTCTTAAAAGAACGATTAAAACAGTTACGGTACTAGCCTTTACGATTGCAGCCTTAGCCTCATAGTTGCTAGAAAGAACCGATAGTATTGTTAGAGCCATATCAACCATACAGTTACTTGAATCCGTAAGCATCGTCAGCAGGGCAGTTACAATTCCGGCTCTCACAGCCCTGCCTTTGTTGCCCTGATAAATGCATAGATTGAACAGAGCACTCGCAGCATCTTTCTTCCCTCTAGTGCACCCATTTTGTAGCAAATCTACCAACACTGGTATCGCCCCAGATGCACCGATTATTATTTTGTTCTCATCTGCAAGTAGCAAACTAAAAAGGGGTCGCCGCTGCATTCTGTCTTGCTTCCATGCTTCCAGCTCTGAGGACTTGGATAATGGAAGGAATGGCACCAGCAAATATAATAAGAGACTTGTTATTTTCAAATATAGAAAGGTTAAGAATCGAAGTCACTGCATGTTCTTGTAATGACACTGACACATCATCTGTCGTTAAAAGGTTGACCCGCTCCTGCATCTGCAATTAGAATCCAGTTATCTGTACTTCTTTTAGATAGTGACTGGATTTCAGCCCTACGTTCCTCTAAGCATTGACTCGATAATTTGCAGACCAGAGCCTGGATGGCAGCCATGTCATCACTAACATCATGTAAAGACCCGTCATTCTTTTTAAGCCTACCATTTGTTAATCCGCTTGGCTGCTCAATATCATGTTTGGCACACCATTGAGTTATCAGACTTCTCAAAACATAATTAGGGGTAGCGTTGCTTCTGCTGAGTTTTCAGACATTTTGCATTGCCACAGTCTATCCATCTCTGTATGTAAGATCTCTCATATGTCTGTAAAATCAAGAAGATGATAAATCAATAGGCAAGACTTATAAGAAATAGAAAAAGGCAAAGGCTGACTACAGAAAAAGAAAAGAGCATTAGCTGTCCAGTGGACACAATCACCGGATCCCTCATTAGTTCCAAAGATATAGGGCACAGAAAATCTTCAGGAATTACTTCAGGCTTCTTTGTTTCTTCAGGACACTCAGTGGCCACATTCTCTAGCCCCTTAGGATCAATTTCATCAGATAGGCAAACATCAGAAGAGGTTGAAGAGCTCTTCACCCTGTCCAATATCTTAGTTGTTGGATCTGCACCACTATTTCCTAAAATGTTATCCAGCTTTTCTGAAATTTCACTGTCGGTACTCCCACGATGTTTATCCAGCGGATGAGACAATGCATTAGAAACTTTTCTCGTATTCTAAGACCCGTTTCTTTCTGTTTCTCTTCTCAATTGAGCTCTTACCAGTGATACCTGAAAAAAAGAAATCGGTGTTAAAAAGGCAAGTGAATATTGGGGGAAAAGTACAAATGCAGAAACATTTAAATTCTGGAGCTAAACCTATTCTTGAACTTCCTCAGAGATTTGATATTGATCAATATGGGATTCACCCTAAAGCTTTCTCCAGCTTCCATGTAACACATTGGAATTGGAAAGACAATCTTTCGGCACCTCCATCCTTAAATCAAGATATAGCAAGTTTTAGAGATACTTCTAACGAAACAAATTCAGAAGAAATGTGCATACCCGCAATAAAATTTCAGCAACAGTTGCTTTCCTTAGCCAAAAAAATACCCCTGCAAAAATTAACATATTCCTTGACCTTCATTTTCTCATGACCGCCAATGAGCAGTTAATTAATTAGAAGTGCTACATTTACCCAGGAAAATACTAACAATTGATCAACACATTGCTTCTGATTTGGGAGGAGAGGTAGTTGAAATTATTATTGACAATTTCAATAAATCGTAAGACTAACTCGACTAGTTCCCTCAAAATGGAGCTATCTATCAAAATTAAAGCAATTGACATAAAAGGAGAAAAAGTGTCCAAGTCTATCCATTTCGCACAACAACTCACATCGTCAATAAAATTAAAAAATGAAACGTATTATTAGTATTAAAATAGAAAAATAACAAGCATGACTGCATGACAACATATCCACGTTTATAAAAACTTATAGAATCAATTAATTCAATCATATAATGCTCATTAAGAGGGAATTAAAAAAATAGACACGGAGATGGATTCATTAAGGAGGAATTATCGGAATTGTAGGGGGAGGCGACGGACACGAGACGTTTAGCCGCCTGGAGAGCAACGGCCAGATCCCCCGACCATGAAGATGCAGAAGAAGAGGAGGAAGAGGAAGCACAGACATGGTCATTATCAGAGGATCCACCAGAATCTCTGATTTCCTCGAGCAAATGCGTGAAGAGAGCAACCCCCTTAACCAGATCCGTGCAATCCTTTTTAAAGATGGCATGGGCGGCGTGAGTTCTGTCGGCTGCATTGGCGGAGACGATTTCGAGGACAAGGCTGAGCAAGAAAGCGGGAGAAGCGCCACCGTCTTGAGAGGAGGCGACTCCACCGGTCATTTTTGAAAGCCAGATGTTGGCTCCTGTTTGGAAAGAGACTTTTCAAAGATAAATGATGACGGAAATGCGAAAGCTGCACTCTCGCAGGAAAACGGTAGAAAATAATATTAATAAAGATAAACTGTACAAATATTCAATAATATTTGAATAAATTTTATTTTATTAAAATTTTAGAAGTAACAAATTAATTATTCATATTATAAATGTATAACAAAATAGTCAATACACCGTTATTTCAGTTCAATTAACAATGTGACAACATTAACAAAAAATTAATATTTAATTTTATCTCTAAACTACTATTAAAACATCAAACTTTATATCTAATTTACCTTAAAAACATTCAAATTTCTTGTTCTTTTCCAAACCCTTCACCGCCTCTACTATATTCACGAATTCATATCTAAACTAAAAGCTCTTGTAGAAGCCAATCATCGGTTAACCAGGCTGGTTGAAGAAAGAGGGTGATAAGACGACCCCTGCAGAAGTGTTGTGCGAAGTTGAAACCGCAAGGCATTCTCGTATTTGTTAGCTAACTTATAGCAAATGATGGAAGTCATCATATATTTGCTTTCTTTGTTTTAGAAAGGATTTTGTTATAACTTCAATTACTATTTAAAAGGATAAAGCAACTGTTGAGATATTTGAAGGGGTTGAAAAGAAGAGAGAGAAGGGAATATGTTAACGTGCATAGCTTGTTCCAAGCAGTTAAATAATAACAATAGATCTATAGGGCGCCATCAGGATGAAGATACATTGGAAACTCGTAGGACTAGGCAAGCCATTAAGGCCCTCACTTCCCAGGTATTTAATTCATCAGTCACTGGGGATGAGGCAATATTATATTTAGCTTGAAGAGACTGTATAATCAGGTGCTACAAGTTAGCCGACAAACAGGAGAATCCTTACGGTTTCAACTTCGCACAACACTTCTGCAGGGGTCGTCTTATCACCCTCTTTCTTCAACCACCTTGCAAGAGCTTTAAAGAACAAATTGCAACAATGGTTAATCG